GGCTGGGAGGAAGGGGGTGGCTACGTGTTGCCATGGAGGTCAGAGTGGAGGGGTTGCAGGAGGGGGCAGGATGAAGGCATGGCGTGGGGCCTTTGGGAGCCACAGGGGAGTAGGGTGAGGGGGCAGGTGGGTCCATGGGAGGCGGGACGAAGGCGGCTGCAGAAATGGGGCGTGAGGGAGGCTGTGTGGGGCTATGGGGGGCTGTGTGAGAGGTCATGGGGAAGTTAGGGTGAGGGGACTATGGGCAGCATGGGGTGAGAGGAGCTTGGGTATGGAGATGAGGATGCAATGGAGTATGACAGGATATGGGCAGAGAGATCAGGATCCATGGGTGTATGGGCTGAAGGGAGCTTTGAGGCTATGCATGTGAAGAGGGCCATGGGCAGGCAGGAGTGAGCGGGGCTTCTGGGGGCATGGAGGTGAAGAAGAACATGGGGTGAGGGGGATGGGGCCAGGGACATGGAGGTGAAAGGGTCTTTGGAATCAGCAGGGAGAATGCCAGGGGGTACATGGTAGGCAGAATGGGGGGCATGGAGGTGAGTATGAGGGGGCATAGAGTGATAGGGACCTGAAGGGAGGAAGCCATAGGGGTGAGGCGTACTGGGAGATACCCCCCACACACACTCTGTTTGCGGTGCCAGGGTGGTGAGCAGGGTCTGGGAGTATGGGCCAGGTGGGAGATGAGGGCAAAGCTGGTCTATGGAGGTGAGTGGGAAGGGCTATGGTACGGATCCAGCCTGTGGAGGGTATTTTGCCAAGGCCTGGGGTAAGCTTGGTTCACACTAGCACACACAAAATAGCCGTGTGGCTAAGATCAAGGATGTGTTGCATGAGTGGCTAGCCTGAACTGGGGCCTGTGTCACTGTGGCCACACTGCTGTTTTTAGCATGCTAACGCGTACCTGTCTACCCATGCTGGACAGCACCCTCCCAGCTGCTGTGCACACCTTCAGACTGACACTTCATAAATACTTAGACAAATTTTGCCTTTGCCAGTGGCACCGCGAAAGGGATATAAAGGTTGGGAGAAAAGCATTTCCACTTTGCTCAGGTTGGGTGGGTGCTGTACTTTTTGCAGCAGCCTCTGGCAATCTGTGCATGAAGATGCACAGGTGCCCAAAAAAGGTGTTCTTTCTGCATGTTAGTGGAAATCCATGCAACAGCAGTGATGTGTCTTAGATCTAGAGTAGGGCGTATTCCACATATGGCCGCCACAGTTATGCAATAGAGGTAGATCTGATTGAAGCAACATTTGCATTCTGAGACCTGAAATTGCTGAGGGCTGCACCTAGATATTAAGCAATGGGAAAGTTGCTTTGTGCTCCTTTAGATACAAAATAGGTGAAGGACAATTTACTTACAGCTTACCTTGTGACTAAGTTTGAGAATTCTTAACATGTGCCTTACCGTTGCCTTTCTTTGGCACTGTCTGTTGGGCTTCTCACTAAATAAATGGATACTGACGTTATTCCTGAAAAGAAGGCAAACGACCCCTCCCTTCAAACCTTGCAGTCCACCTATGAAACAGGAGAGTGAAAAATTATTCCTTCTTTGTACTGTGGACACAATCATTCTAAATCCTGGAGCTTCTTAACTGCCTACTAGACTTTATTTTATTTTTTCAAAGTGCCTAACTAGCTTTTGGAGATGTACAAAAATTAAAAACACTAGCGACCTAATTTTCTCAGCTGTGCTTTAAGGCTCTTTGAAACTGTGCAGTCTCAAATATTTGTTCTAAAGATAATTCTTCCAGTGGTATCTGGATGCTTTCAGTGTTATTAAACCAGTAAATTCCTTCCATCCTCCTGCTGCTCTAGATCTGTATATAAGCCATGAAATTGGAGCCGACCGGGTGCACAGTTCTTGCTTTTAACAACAATATGCATGAAGGCAAGACTAATTTGTATTGTGGAGCTATCAAATGAATGGAAACTCTTAATGCACCTTTACAGCTGACAGTGTGGCCTAGGAATTGCATGTTTCCAAACATTGCATAATTTGTATGCTGTTTGCACAGTGATCCCTGAGCACAGATATTCAGTCTTGAATGGAAAGTGTTCCATTGGCTTAAGTCAGGGCTTTGGTAGTGTGGTGTTCAAACCCTATAATAGGTGTTACAAAAGTAGGCATCAGCTGACGCAGGAATCAGATATAATTACATAGGTTCTGAGTCATACACCAGCATGTTTCCTCAAATAGCCTATGAAGTGCCTATCCCAGTTGAGGGCAACTGTACCTGTATTTCCCCCCAGGGGTCCAGCAAGGGTATCCACTCTCAGACTTCCTGTTCCCCAGCTGTTGCCTCTCTGAGGTGCAGAACTGCAACTTATTCTCTTCTGACCAGGGTATGTCCAGGCTGAACAGTTTTACTGTATTTCCTGCACAGATAGTCTGCATAAACAGACCTGCTTGCTTTCTGCTCAGAGACTGACGATAATGGTTGCCGACAGCCCTAAGTTACTGCACCATGCTTTCTAAGGAAGCCAAATGTAAGGTAAAAAGCATTCCAGAGAAGGCGTGTTAAAATCAATAAAAACTCACACGCACAAGTTTATCTGGAACTTCTCAATTCCTAACATGGATTCTGGCAGATGAGTCCTTCAACCCCCCATCTTACAGGAGTCCCCATGGTTACCAGTTCATCTTAACTCCAGCTCAGAACAAACAGCCTCAGTAGGCCAAGTCCTTCCAACCATTCCTTGAGGATTGGGGCCCTCCACAGACCAGAGGTCCTGTCTGTCTGTCTGTCTGCCTGCTGTATTAGGAGGCACTTTAAACTCAGTTTTTTTACCCCAAAGTCTCCTCTTTGTCTCGTGGTTTCTGGAGAATTCATTTTGGACTAGTCTATGTATAGCTCCCTGCAGGGGGGAGGGTTCCAAGTCTGATAAAGGACCGAGTTCATTAGCTTCCCCCCTTCCTACCAGAGAACAACACTTACACAACTGCATTGTTAATAACCTGTATCCCAAAGATGATAACCCTAGTAAGTTGATCTTAATTCCATAAGGCTGGTTCAGGTTATTCTCACTGTCACCCTGACAATAGAAATAAGCAAATTTTTTAAATATTTCTGTCTTTTTTTTTCTTTGTCTCTCTCTCTCCATTAACAGTTAGGAGCCTGTAGGTGCTGCTGGGAATAGATCTTACCTCTAGCAATTCTCCATTGAACTCTACAAGGTCACTGACTGCTTGGCTGCTGCTGTCATAGAAACAGACAGTGGAGTGCTGAAAATGGGGTCTGATAGTTCTAAAATAACCCATTTCACAAAAGCACAACCTCTTTCCCCCCACCCCTCCAAACACAGGCGCTTTGTGCAGAGGGGCTATTTTAAACTACCAGGCTCCATATCCAGAGATATAGTTTTTGTTGCTATGACAGCAGCAGAACACTCAGGGCCCTCGTAGATTTCAACAGGAGAGTCTTGGTGGAAAGGCCTTTTGTCAACAGTACAAGCAGGCTGCATACTGTTAACTTGGTGTTAGTTGCAAAGAATACAGAATGACTTCAACCAGTTGGGGCTACTGTTTAGATTTCAAGGGATCTTTACAATGGAATGTTCCTGTTTATACACAGTACATGTTTGCAATTCAAAGTGTTATATCTTAAATATTCTGGATTTGTTTCATTCACAAAGTATGTAATGAGTATTAACTTATTTCCAGCCTCCTCCTGAGTAAATGCTGTTAGCTCATTTCACCGGGGAAGCAGATATAGAATCACAGAACACTAGAACTGGAAGGGACCTCGAGATGTCATCAAGTCCAGTCCCCTGCTCTCATGGCAGGACCCAGTATTGTCTCTAGACCATCCCTAATAGATGTCTATCTAACCTGCTCTTAAATATCTCCAGAGATGGAGATTCCACAACCTCCCTAGGCAACTTATTTCAGTGTTTAACCACTCTGACAGGAAGTTTTTCCTAATGTCCAACCTAAACCTCCCTTGCTGCAGTATAAGCCCATTGCTTCTTGTTCTATCCTCAGAGGCCAAGTAGAACAATTTTTCTCCCTCCTCCTTGTGACACCCTTTTAGATACCTGAAAACCACTATCATGTCCCCACTCAGTCTTCTCTTTTCCAAACTAAACAAGCCCAGTTCTTTCAGTCTTCCCTGATCGCTCATGTTCTCTAGACCTTTCATCATTCTTGTTCCTCTTCTCTGGACCTTCTCCAGTTTCTCCACATCTTTCTTGAAATGCGGTGCCCAGAACTGGACACACTACTCCAACTGAGGCCTAATGAACACAGAGTAGAGCGGAAGAATAACTTCTCGTGTCTTGCTCACAACGCGCCTGTTAATGCCTCCCAGAATCATGTTTGCTTTCTTTGCAACAGCGTCGTACTGTTGACTCGTATTTAGCTTGTGGTCCACTATAACCCTTAGATCCCTTCCTGCCGTACTCCTTCCTAGATAGTCGCTTCCCATTCTGTATGTATAAGACTGATTGTTCCTTCTTCAGTGGAGCACTTTGCATTTGTTCTTATTAAACTTCATCCTATTTACCTCAGACCATTTCTCCAGTTTGTCCAGATCATTTTGAATTATGACCCTATCCTCCAAAGCAGTTGCAACCCCCTCCCTGCTTCGTATCATCTGCAAACTTTAAGGATCCAACTTACTTCCTGAAGTGACATTTGATTTTTTTTTTTTTTGAGGGTCTCAATGTTTGAATAGTCAGCCTGAGACATTTGGGCCAGATTTTCCAAAATGCTGATTGCCTTCAGCTCTAATTGAAGTACATACTTCACATCTCTGAAAATCAGGCCCAAAGTGTTTCAAATACAGGGGCCGAGGTCAATGTCCGTATTTGAAAGTTTTTATTTGAGTGGCTTGTCTTTGAGAAGAGGTGGTATCAGAATTAGTAGTAAGTCTTCCAGAAAGTGTGGTTGTACTGGAGTCATGAACTGCTCAGTTGGCTGATCATTTGAGAATGAGTAGACTTAGGCATGTAGGATTTGACTCTTCTTGCACCTTTTCTTCTGTGTGAGCTCAAGTGAGAGTTTGAGAAAAATTGGACTGAAGATCAAAATGGTTGTTGTGATTTGAGTGAGGATTCAGTTGCTCATTGCAAAAATACACCAGCCGTTTTATGAAAATAATTGTGCTTCTGCTGGGCAGTTCTTATGCATCACATCTTAGTGTCTGAAAGTATAATTCTTTAGCCTTTTTTCCATGCATCTGCCCCTTCAATACTGCTCTGTAGCAGTCATAAATGTTCTCAGGGTTTTAAGGCTTGTACCTTTTGTGTGTGGTGAGCTGCACTGTCAGCGTAGTCTCTAATAGTTGACTCATTTACTGAAGCTGATTAGGCCAGTCTGCCAAAGAAGCTATGAGGAATTACTAGAGCTAGGACAGGCTTGATCCTGTGAACCTTCAGAGCTCTGGCTTGGAGCCCACAGTCGCTATTAATAGACTGGTAGGAGAAGCCAAGCTTTGAAAACAGCTTCTGATTTGAATACCAGGTGGTTCTCATACTGTTCTGAAACAGAACTATCTCCTGAGACACTCAGAATTAGACTGTGCCCAGAAAATCCCTGTTTTGCAAGTCATCCAGTGCTAGATGCTTCCTAACTGCTGGTAACTCGCCTACCTAAAATTCCCCTGTGCAGTTGCATTTGGCCACATGATTTATTTTCTGTCCAGAAGGGCTATTGGGGGTAGTTGGTGCATGGCTGCTTAGTAGTAGTTTTTTAACACTTTTTTTATCCAAATGGATCCTGGGTGGGATATATCAGTAATACCAATATTCATGTGTCAGAATTCCTCATTATTATGGTTGTGAATGATTTTATTGTTCTGGCAAGAATCTTGCTGGTGAATGTCACTTGCACTCAGATTTCTGTAGTTGCCACTGGACAGAAATGCTGAATGAGTTTACTTCTCCTTTCTTAGCTGGAGAAGCTCCTTACACTGTCTAGAGCAGGAGTGGGCAAATTATAGGCCACATCTAGCCTCTCAATCATTGTAATCTGGCCCTCAAACTTCCACTGGAGAATGAGGCCTAGGGCTTCCCCTGCTCCACCCAGCTCCCAAAAGCAGCGGCATGTCCCCCGCAGTGTTCCCTCTAAGCTGCATGGCAGCACAGCTTCACAGGCGACTGATCAGCCCTGCGAGGTCAGAAGCTCGGGGCTCTGTGCACGATTTAGATGATGACATAGAGAGGACGCTTATTAAGTTTGCAGGTGATACCAAGCTGGGAGGGATTGCAAGTGCTTTGGAGGATGGGTCAGAATTCAAAATGATCTGGAGAAATGGGCCGAGGTCAATAGGATGAAGTTCAATAAGGACAAATGCAAAGTGTTCCACTAAGGGAGGAAAAATCCGTTCCTCACACACAGAATGGGAAGCGACTGTCTAGAAAGGATCCTGCAGAAAGGGATCTAGGAGTCAGAGTGGGCCACAAGGTAAATACGAGTCAATAGTGTGACATTGTCGCAAAAAAAAGCCAACATGGTTCTGGGCGGCATTAACAGGAGCGTTGTGAGCAAGACACGAGCAGTCATTCTTCTACCCTACTCTGCGCTGGTTAGTCCTCAGTTGGAGTATTGTGTCCAGTTCTGTGTACCGCATTTCCAGAAAGATATGGAGAAATTGGAGAGGATCAGTCGGGGCCACAACTAAGAAGCAGAAAGACACTCCCCACATTCCCCTCACACACCAGAGCCTAGGTGGTCCCAGGCTAGTCGATTTTGTGTGCTCCAGCCCTGGAGTGGGGCAGCAGTGGGGTTTGAGTACCAGTGCAGACTCCCCAGTGTTGTGCGGGAGGAGCCTTGAGCCTCGGGAGCTAGATCCAGGCAAGCTGTTCCTCACTCCTCCTGATTTTTAGAAACGAGACTTCTTAGTTGTTTCTTCTGCTTTTGAACCTAGCTAAGTATAGACCCATGCTTAGGTGCTGTCCTGAATAGAAATGCTTTCCTGAATGGGGCCGCAAGGAGGAAGGACTTTGAAACAGTTTCATGCTGATTGAGAATAGTTCTGTTTGGCTTGTTCTAGAGGGCAGAGTCATCATATCGGCAATCTCTGCAATCAGGCTTAAGCTTCAGGCTACTTAGTAGTTAGTTTTCAAAGTTCGCAGAATGCCTAGTTTTTAAACCAGGGATATCAAAATAAAAATGTGAACAAACCGATCTGTAGACAGAAAGAATTATCTAATAAATGTGGCTTCTGCCACAGGCTGCCTTTTGATTGCTCCCTGTACTATCCAGTTCTAAATGGATATGTTTATTTGTTAATGGTGTGAGCTGGGGGAGCAGGGGTCAGGATTATATAACTTGATTTTCTTTTACCACCCGGAGACAATATAGATTAAAACCACCGGCCTGGTGGGGGTGAGTTTGGGGAATGTAGCAGTGCACGGAGCCTACTAAGCTTGTCATCTCATGTTTGTTTTGCAGTTGGTGTATCCTTATGACTTCAGACTGACAGAAAAAGAGGTAGGATAACTTCTTCTGTCTTAGAGAATCTGGGGGTGTGTGGTAGAGGGTATTTTACAACATTTTCTTGTTTGTTACAGAAAACCAACATTTGCTACTTGTCCTTCCCAGACTCCTACTCAGGTAGGTGGCATCTCTGGTTCTGCATGGGGAATGGGGATGGTTGCTATGAGAGACACATTAAGGGTACGTCTAGACTACATGCCTCTGTCGCCAGAGGCATGTAGATTAGGCTACCAGCCATGGGAAAATGAAGCGGCGATTTAAATAATCGCCGCTTCATTTAAATTTACATGGCTGCCGCGCTGAGCCGACAAACAGCTGATCAGCTGTTTGTTGGCTCAGCGCGATAGTCTGGACGCGCGGGTGTCGACATCAAAGGCATTTGTCGACCACCAGGTAAACCTCATCCCAGGAGGCATGCAGTCTAGACGTACCCTAAGGTTCGTATTAGAGAGAGAGTGAGTCAGCATCTGTAATGTACCAGAGAGAGCAATGGGCTGTATCTTCTGAAATAAAGACCTCAGAGAGTGCTAAGGCTTCTCTCAGGGCTGGATGGAGAGGCTTCCTGTTGAATATTGATCCTTATTTAAAAGGATGCAGAACCTGTGATCTAGTGGCTGATGGGAGAATTTCTCTTTGTGCAAGCTTTACTCACGCTTTTCAGGCGCCAGCCAGGGTATGAAAAGTAGCAGCGGGGGCTAAGTTTTCCCCAGACTTGCAGCGGTCCATGCTGATCTCATTTTGATGCAGAAGAGGGCTCGGCACAGAGAGAAATGTATTTAGCCTTTCTGGGGAAGGGGTCCGGTCCGTGTTTGCGTATCGGTAGGATAGCTATCCAATGGAAAGCCTGAGGCCACTTCCAGTGAATCCCTCTACGGGTGTTCCCGTTCTCCGGGGTTTTGGCCAGTTGACTTTTAACTGGCCTTAGAGATGGTGCTTCCATCACTCCCTTTCTGAGCCCTTTCTGCTTCTAATAGATTTCTGCTGTCCATCCTACATTTTCAGCTCTTAGCGTTATCCCTTTATTTCCAGCTGTAGTCCCCATAATACACAAAATAATCCCTTTCCTTGTATGAGGCGTAAACATCTACAGAAATGTGAAGGGCATTCTATTGTCTATTATGCATTAGTCATCGATTAGCCAAAATTATAATTTAGCCAAGTTTTACATATGCAGTTCTTTGATCCTAAATCAATCCCTCCAGTTTCCTGCTGTGGGCTGCACATAGATATTAGGGGTAGGAATGGCAGCAAGAGAGAATTCTGTGGGCTGCATTTTGCCCATCCTTGGACGGGCTAGCCAGCTTTCCATAGACCTGTATACAGTCCCAGTTTGGTTCTCCTTTCACATGCACGGGGATGCTTTGGAGACACAAAGGTTGTGCACATATTCACTTTGCACATATTCTTCTGCCAGTGTCTCTCTGCCCATCCTGGTTAGTCTGGGATCTCTGTGGAGAGAATTTCATGCTTCAATACCATATCCAATACCACGTTTTGGGGAGGATGGTTCTCAGGGTGCAGGTTCCCCACTGTGGAACTCATTCACCTTGGCCATTTGCCCCTGGCTCTGCGGAATGGCGCACTGGCTTGCGTTCCCAACCACGCCTTGATGCACTTTTGGATTAAGACTCTGCATGTGTCGATTTCCAGTCTGGTGGATCGTAGTGGGAATGGCTGCAGCTGCTCACTGTGGGATTACTGGCTGATGTCTTGAACACTGTCTGAAAATGGGTGCATAATCAATTAATCAGTGCAAATTCCTGCAGTCTAATTACTAATTGACCCTACAGTTTTGCTGTTACCATGTCTGCTAATTTGAGTTTGATATTTTTATGTGGCTTTTACTTCCTTAAATGTTTTTGATGAAGTCCCGAACTTCCTTACTGAAGCTTCTTCTTGATTGTGTATAATCTTGTCTCTGTCTCAGGCGGCTTAGGAGATACTCAGTTTAGCTTCCGTCTCCGTCAGTCTGGGGGGCAGAGGAACACGCGTTTTGGGGAGGATGGTGAATATAACACAGAAGCCCCGCTAACATTACAGGTTAGTTATTGCTCAGTATGCAGCTTGCACTTGCAAAATGAACAGTAGCATGCATGCATGTATAAACAGAATGTGCACATGGATTGATTTTTCCTGTAAATAATTGTCCTCTTTTTCTGAATTTTGCCTCAGACCATGGAATAATCACAAAGGGCTAAATTTTCAGCACAGGGATTCCCAGTCATCTGAATGTTTGTAGAGGAGCATACTACCCAGGATGTAACCTCTCTGTGGCAATAAAGAGCAAGATGTGATGGGTTGGAAGGAGCAGGATCTGACTGTTATTGCTGCACTCAAATAGAGGATAAATGTTAGAGTCCTAGGGTGCGTCTGCACAGCCATTGTGTTATTTCGAAATAATTTCAAAATAACGGATGGCTAATTCCAAAATCCATAAATCTCATTCTACAAGGAATAACGCCTCTTCCAAAATAGCTATTTTGAAATAAGGCATCTATAGACACTCCACTGCTGCTATTTTGAAATAGCCCCTCACCAGGGCCATTTTAAGTTATTCCTCCCCAGTGCCTCCTGGGGCTCTACATCGAGAGAGCACATCTACATTAGGGGAGCCTGCCTTGGATTCATTTTGAGGCTTCCCTGTAGTGTGAACACTCTATTTCGAAATAAGCTATTTAGGAATAAGCGTGCAGTGTAAACGTACCCCTAGTGGCCTGAAATAACTTTGCACCCGTGTTCTAGCCTGTGTTTCTCCCTTGTACTGGTCAGTCCATGTCACGCAGTGGTCAGGTACCAATTCCCCTGCTATAGCAAGAGAGAGTCACATTGGTTTGTCCTTCTTTTCTGTCCCTCCCTCTCCCCCGTTTGGTGCCTTGAGTACCTGTGTGGATTCTTAATTGCAGCCAGCGTGTGCCCTGGGGAGTGACTCCTGGGACTGCTGTGAAGGAATTCTGGGACTCCCCACCTAGTGCTCTCATGGTGCAGAGTCACAAGGCTCTCCAGTTGTCAAGGGGGGAGGGGTCCCTGCTCAGGGACGTGGCCGGAGGGATGGAAGAACTGCGGGGAGCAAGACTGCGAAATTCTAGATGCTGCTGCTGGAAAAGTCATGCCTGATGTGTTCTAAAAGCCTGCCCCAAGGAACAGCAGGCCTGGTGCATTGTGTCTGTAATTGGACTCCATCTCTGTCCCAGTGCCACTTGTGGGAATTCAGGGATGTAAATGGCAAATAGAAGTGAGGGATTTTTATCAGCTGGTATTTTGTGCCTTACAAGCTCTGTCCTTCCGGTCCTTTGTCAAAGCTCCCGCCCTGGCTAAAGCCAGAATGGTATTGTCAGGAGTCTGTCTGGGGAGATGGCCATTGAGCGATAGTGAGCAGGCATTTCCTCCTCTCAGGAGGTGGTGTTACTCCACAGCACCCCAAACCGAACCTGAGAGTCACGCACGAGCTGGCTGCACAGCAACATGGCGTTTCTGGGGTTCGACTCTAGGCAAGCCAGGCTAGTTTATGTCTGTGGGAGCACCCAGCCCACAGGAGTGGGTGCGGTACACGGGGCTGGGTGACACTTGGGGTTCAACTCCTTGTGCTGCAATTGTGAGTTCGTGGCCCAGTCGCCTCCCTACGTGTTCATGTCATGAAATCTGCCACAGCTTGTCACTGACGGCTGCCTCCGAGAAGACCAGACCTGGAGTAGTGGGGGGACACTGCAGTGCAGGGCTGAGATGCACTTCCAGATCTCTGAGACTTGGACTGAGAGGCTCAAGACGGGTGTCGGAGGTACCAAGATCCTTGACAGTGGTGTTGTTGACCTCTTTCTTGCAGCGGGAGTCAGCTCATTACTTCGGCTATGTGTACTTCAGGCAAGTGAAGGACAGCTCAATGAAGAGAGGTTACTTCCAGAAGGTGAGTGTTCAGACTGGCTAGCTTGCTGCTTTACAGCAGCATATCACTGTAACTTAGCATCTGTCCATTGTACTTCACAATCTCCCCAGCCCTGCAGTGGCATCAGAAGTATGGCTGGAGGAAACGGAAGAAAAGCTGCAATAGCTGGACTGTGTGGAAAGTGTAGTTCTCAAACAAGCCCACAAGAAGCACCATGCTAGATAAATCATGTGACCAGCAATTTACAATCTGTCTGGGCCGTAAATTCCTGAGAAGTCCCTGAAGAAACACACTTCCCTTCTCGTGTACTCCAGCTTCAGGAGCACAGTGATGGGGTGTTTTGTTGTTGTTTGTATGATGTCAGGTTGTGAATGGGTAACTGGTTACCTGGCAAGTATCACCTGGTACCCGGGAGCAGACAGAATGCCAGAACTGGAAAGTACTTCAAGAGATCATCAAATCCAGTCCCCTGCCCTCCCAGCAGTACCAGACACCATCGATCATCCCTGACAGGGGTCTGTCCAACCTGCTCTTAAATATCCCCAGTGGTGGAGATTCCACAATCCCCTTACGCAGTTTAGTCCAGTGTTTAACCCCCCTGACAGGAAGTTTTTCCTAATGTCCAACCTAAATCTCCCTTGCCACAATTTAAGCCCATTGCATCTTATCCTGTAATCACAGGCCAGGGAAAACATTTTTTCTCCCTCCTCCTTGTTAACACCCTTTTAGATATTTGAAAACTGCTAACATGTCCCCCGCCCCAGTCGTCTCTTTTTGACTAAACAAACCCAATTCTTTTAGTCTTCCCTCATAGGTCATGTTTTCTAGACCTTTAATTGCTCTTCTCTGAACCTTCGGAAAAACCCTGTAGTCTAGACACAACCCCACTGACTCCAGAGGAGTTAGGATTTTATCCTTAGTGAAGACTTAAAAATAAAGTGACCAGCCAGTTTTATACAAAACTAGATTATCAGGCTGCCTACCCACTTCCTAAAAGCTTTTACATTTTATAATCCAACTCTCCCCTTTTTAACAATTCGAACTCCACCAAATCCCCTGTTCTTCACACCAGTCAGGGGGGGGAGCAACAGCAGCAGTCCTACATGGGTGGGGGGGAATCCCACTTAACCTTAATCCCTAAGGTTTAGCCAGTTATCTGAGTAACCAGGATTTTACATCCATAGTATGATGGCAGTACCCGCGATGTGCTGAACATTATCCAAATAGGAGGAGAGGAAGTAGAGGAAGACACAGCTGGTGCCTCTAGGAGCACGGAATTTCAGACTCGTTCTTTGTCTCAAGTCTAGGGAAAGGAAAATGTTCCAATGCATTGAAGGCATCCATTTTATCGTTATCCGTTAGAACATAAAAACAGCCTCTCTGGGTCACACCAACGGTCCATTCAGCCCAGTGTCCCATCTTCCACTCAGTTCCCAGTTTGGTTTCGATCTTCCCATCAAAACTAAAATGAGCCCTTGTTAAAGGGTTTGAATCTTAGGGGAGTTAAAGCTGTCATTGAGAGCCCTTTGCAACAGGCCAGTCTGATAGTGACAGACGACTGAGGCTGCTTTGCCCCTGTAATTGTATTGTGCACTGCTCCTCTTCTGCCTAGCTCTGTGCTCATCTCCTAGACCGTGTTCCAAAGAGCATTGCTCATCAATGTGTGTCTACAGTGAAATAAAGGATCAGTCACTGAGAGAAAAACAACACTTACATCAGGAGGACAATGGAAATCTGGGCAGTGCTGGAGAGCGCCTGCCAAGTTAACTTGATGGCTTTTGAGGTAGAATTACAGCAGTAGAGGGTGATGTGAAAGCATTGGATCTAATACCCTGTCACCTACACTGGCCCAGCAGCTGGGAAGATATGCTGTGCTGACAGGAGAGTGCTCTCCGGAGGAGCACCTCCTGCCAACAGTGCAATGTGGACGCTGCTTTACGTCGCTGTAATTTGTGTCACCTGGAGGGGAGGCTGGAGAGTTCGTTTTTCACATCCCTGCGTGATGTGAGTTGCATCAACTTACGTGGTGGTGTAGACAAGTCCTTAGACTGGAGCAAAGTGGAAGACGGCACCAATCGGCACAGTACTGGATGGGAGAGCGTGTGCAGTGGTTATTGCAGAGATCCGAGTTAGATCTTGGTGACTGATTTGGAAAGCAGAGTAAGCAGCACACGGAAGGGATACTGAACTGGAGGGCGGTATAAAAACTAATGACCGAGCTAGCATCCAGTGAGGTTAGAAACATGGGCAGAGAACAAAATGACGGTCCATTAACTGGGAAAAAGATCCCTCATTTCCGTTACTTCGTCTGTCTGCTCCAGTCTTCCACATACGAATTCTTTACCTGGCCCGGACTTACGATCTGCTGGTTCGTTCTCTGCATCTGGTCTCTAGCTCTTCTCTGTACCCTCCTCCCTCAGGTCGCTTGTGCTAGGGATGTGAAAGATTCGCCAGTTACTTGGTAAGCCTTAAGCTTTCCAGAATGCTTACTGGGTAACTGATTGGACGGCCAGCCGCAGCAGGCTGGAGCAACCCTGGTTGAGTGCGAGTGGCAGACAGGGCCCTCACCACTCTGACTTGACCCACATGGGCTGGCAGGACCCCAGTAGGACTCCAGCCCCAGCCATGCTGGGCCAGCAGGCAATGCCCCGAACCCGGCTGCTCCATTTCGGCCCAGCAGGACTCTGTAAGCTGAATGCTTGGACAGCCATCCAGGAGAGATTCAGGTGCCACATTGCTGATTGGCAAAGCGCCTACAGCCAGCAGCGTATTTCTGTTGGTGGTGCACATCTGCACAGGCTTCAGTGCACGTAAGAAAAGGTATTCTGCCCAGGGTTGGGAAAAAATAAGAGGGAACATTGACCCCAGCCACACTGGGGCAGGTAGTGGCCTGTGTGGGCCAGCCAGACCTGGCTATGCTGGAGCCGGCCGGCCGGACCCTGGCCGATGATTAACCGGCTAAATGTTACAATTTCAGTTGTTTAACCCGCAAACTATTTAAATGGTTATTTACATCCCTGGCTTGCACAGGGACCGCTGGCAATTCCTGGCTCTCTACACTGGTGACCTTTTTTCTGTGCGCGCTGTAGCCTCTAGGACTGTAAATATTGTTTAAAATAGTGAACTGGTTAAACAATTACAACGTTATTGTTTAGCCGGTAAATCACTGGGGGGCCAGTACAGGGCAACCGGGGCTGGTCTCACGAGGCCACTGCACTACAGCCAGTGTCCCTCCTACCCGCGTTCAAAGCGCATCGTGGTTGGGGATGCTGGCAGGGCCGTGGCTGCTGGCAGGGCCGTGG